AATGAGGGAATAACACACACCTGGCCATGGAACAGCTGAGAAGCCAATTGTCCCATTACTTTTGGTCCCTTAACAAGTGGGAGGCATATGCAAACTGTTGTAATTTCTACACCGTTCACCTGATTTGGATGTAAATACCCTCAAATTAAAGCTGACAGTCTTCAGTTAAAGCACATCTTGTTTGTTTCATTTCAAATCCATTGTGGTGGTGTATAGAGCCAAAAATGTTAGAATTGTGTCGATGTCCCAATATTTATGGACCTGACTGTAGTGCACAGACCAGGCCCTGAGGCCTGTAGCAAAAATTGCCCTGGTCCTAGCCAGAAGGCCTGGTCCTAAGGGCGCTGTGCAGAAAAAGTTTGTAAACACTGACCATGTGCCATCTTCACACTGTGGGGTTCCACACCCAGGTGCTACTAGTGGCACCCCTGAGGCGACTACTGAGGGGGTACTGGTTTGCGGACTCTCTGCCTTCCCGACCCCTGGCCAGACAAGGTAGATCCGTCCAAATCGGGAGGTACTGGGTCCTTCAGACGTTCCAAACGGGAATTACTACCAGGCCCCAGCTACGTGTGGGCGTCCTGGGTTCTGTTCCCCCCCGTAATAGCCATCCAGACCCCCATCATACCAGCAAAGCTAGAATGACTGTGGAGCACCCCCACTGGACACTGATAAGAACAGATACTACACTGGATCTTAGGCAAGTGTTCTGATCCAATTGGAAAGAACCATGGTCACCCTAATTTACATACTAAGACTCATTATTTGTTCTCATTTGCATACTTTTCCTTGTTTCACATTAGTGAGATTCAGTTGCAACGGATCATGGTCCCACTAATTTGCATACTTGTTTCACATTAGAGAGTTCTGATCCAATTGCAAAGGATCATGGGCACCCTAATTTGCATACTCCTTTTCCTTGTTTCACATTAGGGAGAGTGTTCTGATCCAATTGCAAAGGTATGAAGGATAAATTTGCATAATTGTGTGGGATTATTCAAAAAGATGCAAAATTTTTTAACACATTTCCCACCAGAAAACCCCTACTTTTTCCCAGAATGCCCGCTCGGTTTGTTGGGTTGGACACGCACTGTTCAAACGGATCACCCCTCCCACCTTTACCCCGCTTCCATCAATAATGATGATTTTGGGACCATCCTATCTTAACTTGGGGAGAGCATTGTATCTAATTAGCATATTTACTCTTTCTTCCTCTCCACAGGAAAACCTCTGACTAGTACTTGGCTCAGCTTTTAGTATGCTTTGGTCATCCTTGGTTCGACTCCTAAGCCACAGTGACCCCAATTCATGCAGCGGGGTCTCAGTGTGATTGAATTGGTTTGTGGCCTGATGAATGAAAAGTGTGTGATGGTATATGTTCTAGTGTCATGGTGGCTCAGCATAATGCGTGGCCATTGTGATATTTGCATAACTCCTCCCAAGAGGCAGCCCACTGTTTACATCATAGCTGAGGGATCTTGGAGCAGTACTGAGGTTGGGTGTTGTGATGTTTTCAGAAAGCACTCTGGGGGAGAACCCATAGTAAACAAAACAGTTCTCTCCCCTGTGTTTAGCAGAACCATGCGAAGCAGTGTGCCTATGGTAAAACAACACACAGTTAACCCTTTAATTGCCCCAGATGTTAACCCCTTCCTGTCCAGTGCCATTAGTGCAGTGTCAGTGCTTTTTACTAGCACTGATCCCTGTATTGGTGTCACCGGGGGATGTCAGTGACACCAAGTCTTTTCCCCCCCCAGTGCCAGAATGCCCTCTGCAGTCCCACTACAAGTCGCTGATTGCTGCCATTACTAGTAAAAATTGAAAAAAAAATATTGCAGTATCTATACCGCCATTTGTAGACGCTATAACTTTCATGTAAACCAATTAATTTACACTTATTGTGATTTTTTTTTTTTTAAGCAAAGACACGGAGCAGAATACATATTGGCCTAAATTGATGACTAAGTTTTATTTTTTATTTTTTTTTTTTTACTGGACATGTTTAATAGTAAAAAGCCAAATATATATATATATATATATATATATATATAATTTTTTATTTTTTTTTTATTATTATTTTTTTTTTTTAAATTGTCGGCCTTTTTTTGTTTATAGCGCAAAAAAAAAACCCCACAAAGGTGATCAAATACCACTGAAAAAAACTTTTTAGGAAAAAAAGGACATAAGTTGAATTTGAGTGCAGCTGTGCATGACATAATTGTCAGTTAAAGTAACGCAGCGCCGTATCGCAATAAATGGCCTGGTCAGGAAGGGAGGTAAACCCTCTGGAGGGCGAGGGGTAAAATCATGCCCCTGATTGCTGCAGACAACACCTCTTTTTACTCCTGGTTATGATGGTAGAAGATCACACAGCCATTGTGGTGTGCCCCTGTGATTCTGCCCTGCCCCCCCAAACCCCCCCCCCCCCTGTGATAGACTTTGCCAGCACCCAGGTGAAGTTTTTCAGTCAGCCTGCCGTGTCTCCGCTGTGTCCCCGGGGTATCGCCCTGACTGGGGAGCTTGATTTTAAAAGAAACAGTGTTTCCTGTAACAGTTTACAAATTATTATAGATGTTGTACATTGATATGTACTGTTCTCATATTTCAATCAACCTTTATTGTAAGAAAAAAGAACAAACAAAATGAAATAAATATTACATGAACCAGTACGTTGTTGGATATTAAAGCGGAGTTCAAGCTGAATAAAAAATAAATAAAAGTCTGAAGCTACAAAAACTGTAGCTGGTGAATTTTAAAATAGAGACACTTAGGCTAAGTTCACACAAGCTTTATAAGCAGGCATTTTTAATGCTCCTCAAATGCATATGAAAAATACAAACATGACAGCACACAGTGCTGTTTACACTGAAGCGTTAGCGGCTCAGTAAAATTGACGCCTCATGTCCAGTCAGGAGGAGTTGAAGCCTTTCAACCAGGAACCAGGACCCACTTCCACAGATATCAGGTCAGCAGATGGGTCAATCCCCCTGACTGGTGGATATCAGCACAGCAGGAACCCTCTCCAGAGTAGTAAACTATAGGAACAGCCAAAGCTCATACAGCCGGAAGGAATGTAAAAGAAAATTCTCCCATAGTGTAATAATGTTATGGATTTAATAAAAGAAAACAATCAAATGCCCACTCACATGTAATGAATATAATATAAGCTTTCAACCACATGCGTGGGTGTACTTGCATGAGTTTGTATTGGAGTTCCAAAATGGAACCCTGAGGAAGTCATGTGTTAGCGTGATGTAATGCATAGGAAGTGGTGACCCTGAGGAAGTCACATGTTAGCGTGATGTAATGCATAGGAAGTGGTGACCCTGAGGAAGTCACATGTTAGCGTGATGTAATGCATAGGAAGTGGTGACCCTGAGGAAGTCACATGTTAGCGTGATATAATGCGCAGGAAGCGGTGACCCTGAGGAAGTCACGTTTTAGCGTGATGTAATGCATAGGAAGTGGTGATGTAATTTCCGGTGCGGACGCCATCTTGGGACTCCAATACAAACCCATGCAAGTGCACTCACAGCATGTTTGTTTCTTTTATTAAGAGAGACCCTCCCAGGAACAGGGGAAGAAGGAACCAAAAGGCCACACATCCTCCCCCTAGACTTCAGGGGGAGGATCAAGGACCCACACCCTACCATCCATGAGAAAAAAAAACACACACAAGTAAAAGTGACTCAAAAAACACAAGTAAAAGTGACTGGGAGAAAAAATAAATACATACATAATATAAAGTGGCTGTACAATTGTGAGGCCTGTAGCATAAAAACTGCCCTGGACTTAGCCAAAAGGCCTAGCCCTAAAAGGCACAGTGAAGGAAAAGTGTTTTAGAACAGTGACCATGTGCACTTTTCACGCATGGGATCCCACACCCCTGTGCTACTAAGAGCACCCCTGAGGCGAGCACTCGGGTCACTGCCTCCCCGGCCCCTGGCCAGACAAGGTAGATCCATTCAGATCAGGAGGATGGGCTCCTCCGGTCTTCCCAGGGGAATTACTCCTGGGCCCCAACTACCCGTGGGCACCACGGTTTCTGTTCCAGCCGGTACTAGCTTTCAGAGCCCCCATCATACCAGCAGGGGTACTATGCAGCCAACCATCCTCATCAAGAAGCAAGAATGATGGCGGAGCGCCCCTACTGGACACTGATAAGAACAGATTTTTTTTTAAATTCTTTTCTTTTGTTAGAAAATTTCATGAAAAAAATCAACGTTCCATAATACAATCACAAAAAGGTTCCATAATACAATCACACAAAAAACAAGTTCCATAGCATAATCACAAGAATTTCATAATACAAGAACAAGAGAAACTTTTACAAAACAAGAAACCGCAAGCAAGGGAAACCATATGCAATTTTTATAATCATTGCATTTTTTTTCCCTCTTCCAATTTACAAGAAATAACACAGCTAATTTATGAAATGGAAGAAAAACAATATGTGCCCCTATTTAGGGTGTAACATTCAACATTTTACAAATAGACCAGCCACCGCTCCTCCACGTTCCCCATTGTAGCAGTTAGTGAGGGATCTTCTCCCTCCCCCGCTAGCTGTCACAATTTAAGGAAAACGTGGGGCTGCACCCAAATGGCCGCATCATTCAGTGTTTTGGTGCGGTGCGATTAGAGCCATACAAAATGTACGGCTCCAATCGCACCACACACAAAAAACGCGTTTGATTTGCACAGGAATGCAGTGAGGTTCCTGTGTGAATCACATGCGATATACCGCACCGCACATATGTGACCCCAGGCTTAGTGTTATGCTTTGACCAGCTGCAGATTTGCATATTAGTGAATCCAAAATCACTGAAACCAGACAGCCAAGAAAGTGGCATTTTTATTGACCGCAATTATTTTCTCAATACAGGTGTGGAAGTGATGCAGTCGCCGCTCACCAAAATAACTACATTCTCCAGAATAACAGTAATAAAACAGTCTTTTTTTTTTTTTTTTTTTTCTTCAGATCTCTGTGAAGCAGCAGCAAGATGTGTGGACGCACAGCCTGTACCCTGGCACCAGACGGCGTTAGCAAAGCTTGTGAATATCAAAACAAACGGGGAGAAAGAAAGTGTCCTGGTTGGCGGGAAGGCGATTCTGACAAGTACAAGCCATCATACAACAAATGTCCCCAGTCCAACAGCCCCGTCCTCCTGTCCTTGAAGCATTTCCAGAAGGTGATCCTTATCAATCATGTTGTGATTACCAATACATTATCCATGTTACATTGTGGCCATTGAGAGCTCCGCTTGTTGGGTTTTTGCAGTTGGTTGAACAGCTGTTCTTGGGCTTAAAAATAGACCAGTACTAAGTTTGTATTATGGTTTCAGTAAACCGCAACCGCAAGGACAGACATGACACAGCTGGTTTCAGAATGAAATGCTGCTGTTTCGATTTTTTTAAACCCGCTGTTTAAAACACGGGGCTGGGGGGGGGGGGGGGGGGCTGCTATTGCTGGGTCACTCTCCTGAAACAGGCCTCTACTGATGTCACTGATCTGCATACTCGGTCTCAGTAGGTGACTCAAAATATTTAGGCTAGAGAATTAGTATGACAGCTAAGGAACTGAACAAGGGGAATCTGATGTAGCAGAAGTTGCCCTCAAAGCTGAGGCTCTCAGTTGCCTCTTGGCCTTATGGCTGAGATCAAGTGTGGTAGCTGTTCTTATCAGGTTTCAGGTATGGGGAAGGTGTGTCTGTGTAGGGGGGGTTGGCCATAATTCCCAATGTAATAAGGTGGATATGGTGAGGAGGATGCCCTTTCCCCCCAAGTCGATTCTGGCCTGGTTTTACTGATTGTAGGCAGGACACTTCCTAAGTTTTTTAATGTCTTTGTGGTAGGGATGGCTACTGCCTTTGTCTGGTCAGCGGCTGGGAGGAGCAGGGAGCTTCTGGTGATGTGCCCCCCAGGGGTGCTAGAAAACCACTATGGTATGGGAATGCACTGAGCTACACCAGCACTACAACACATCGCTTTGCAAACACTTCTTGGGCAGGCCTTCTTGTTAGCTCAGAGCAATGTTTATACCGCCCAAACGGCCCACTTTGTGCATAAGGCACTTTTTATTTATCTTACCTGTCCCTCGGTCCAGCAGTGTCTCCTTCACGGCTGGTTTCACAGGCCGTCTTCTCTCCCTGGCACCGGCATCTTCAGTGTGGGCACCCGGCTGTGACAGCTTGCGGCTTCACAACCGGGTGCCCACTGCGCATGCGCAAGAAGCGCTGCGCTTTGTGAATGTCCCTGTAGTCTTCTGGGACCCAGAAGACTACGGGGGCAGAGGATGACTTTTGCTTCCGATCGCCTAGACCAGGGGTAGGCAACCTGCGGCTCTCCAGCTGTTGCAGGACTACAAGTTCCATCATGCCTCTGCAAGTCATAGCTGTAACTGTCAGTTTTGTAATCTTTGCAATGCCTCATTGGAAATGTAGTTCCACAACAGCTAGAGAGCCACAGGTTGCCTACCCCTGGCCTAGACGATAGCAACGGAAGTGGGAGCGGGTACCTGTCAAATTCGGGTACCCCCTCCCCTGCTGGTGAGTGGGGGACAAAGGCTTAAAGCGGAACTTCCCCTTTTGGGTGGAGCTTTGCTTTAATATTAAAGCATATTTTATATTATTTTATATACCTAACATTATTACATGTCCCAATAAAATGATACTCACTGAAAAGGTGTGAAGAAACGGTCCAGTAAGGGAGACAGAGTAACACGATGACAATGATAAAAGGGGCTTATTTGCTGTGAAAAGACAGAAGACGATAAGGGGCTATTAGATGAAATTGTGTTTTTAACCTACTATAAAATATAAAATTGTAGTAGAGTTCATACACTCCACAAAAAGTCCAATTATACTAAGAATAAGGGGTGCATATGGCAAAAATAAGGTACATTTTTATAAAAAATGATTATTAAGTCTCAAAGTAACATCCAAAGGATAAATAAAATAGCTTTGCCCCCAAACAGGATCCCAAATCCACCATCAACAGACTGGCTTGGGTTCTGTAAAGTTGAGACACATGACACCACATATGTAAACACTTAGCCCTCTAGGTCAGCGGTTCTCAACCTGGGGGTCGCGACCCCCTTTGGGGGTCGAACGACGCTTCCACAGGGGTCGCCTAAGACCATCGGAAAAACACATATTTCCGATGGTCTTAGGAACCGAGACACCGCTCCTCGCGCCGCCACCGCCGTCTCCAGGTGTGGGCGGGATGACATGCCGCCCCTGTCATCAGGACACACCTCGAGATCAATCCTCGCCTGTGATTGGCCGCCGGCACTGTAGCACAGGAGAGGCACACAGGCGGCCAATCACCGGCAAGGAGGTGGAGCTTGGAGAGGAGGAGCCGAGCGGCACCGCGAAGATCGAGCGAGTGAAGAGGAGGAGAGCGGCCGGAGAAGGAAGACATCTGACAGGTAAGTGTCGGTACCATGGGAGAGGGAGGGAGCGAGCGAGCCCAGGCTGGAGCAGGGGTCTGCAAGGGTAAGTATCATTGGTGTCAGTGGGAATAGTGCCCCATCATTGGTGTCACTAATACCAATGATGGGGCACTATTCCTCCCACTGATCCCAACGATGGGACACTATTCCTCCCACTGACACCAACGATGGGGCACTATTCCTCCCACTGACACCAACGATGGGGCACTATTCCTCCCCAAATGACACCAACGATGGGGCACTATTCCTCCCCCACTGACACCAAGGATGGGGCACGATTCCTCCCCCCACTGACACCAAGGATGGGGCACTATTCCTCCCCCCACTGACACCAAGGATGGGGCACTATTCCTCCCCCCACTGACACCAAGGATGGGGCACTATTTCCTCCCCCCACTGACACCAAGGATGGGGCACACTATTCCTCCCCCACTGACACCTATGATGGGGCACTATTCCCCCCCACTGACACCTATGATGGGGCACTATTCCCCCCACTGACACCAATGATGGGGCACTATTCCCCCACTGACACCAATGATGGGGCACTATTCCCCCCACTGACACCAATGATGGGGCACTATTCCCCCCACTGACACCTATGATGGGGCACTATTCCTCCCCCCACTGACACCAATGATGGGGCACTATTCCTCCTCCCACTGACAGCAATGATGGGGCACTATTCCTCCCACTGATACCAATGATGGGGCACTATTCCTCCCACTGATACCGATGATGAGGCACTATTCCTCCCACTGACACCGATGATGGGGGGGGGGGGGCACTATTCCTCCCACTGACACCGATGATGGGGCACTATTCCTCCCACTGATACCGATGATGGGGCACTATTCCTCCCACTGATACCGATGATGGGGCACTATTCCTCCCACTGACACCGATGATGGGGCACTATTCCTCCCACTGATACCGATGATGGGGCACTATTCCTCCCACTGACACCGATGATGGGGCACTATTCCTCCCACTGATACCAATGATGGGACACTATTCCTCCCACTGATACCAATGATGGGGCACTATTCCCCCCCCACTGACACCAATGATGGGGCACTATTCCTCCCACTGATACCAATGATGGGGCACTATTCCTCCCACTGATACCAATGATGGGGCACTATGGAGAGGGGGAAGTGTCCTGTGCTCCTAAAACACTTTCTGTCCCAGGGTGACAACACTGCTCTATAGATCCAGTACAAGGAGTGAGCTTTGTCATCCGAGGACAGGAAGGATGTTACTGGCAGGATCACCAGGTGAAATAAAAGAAAACCAGTAGGAATAAAACAAAAACAATTGCGTTTGGCACATGTAAGGACTGGTAGTCTGCTATATTTACATTGTTTGTACTTGGGGTTCATATACACTTTAAACCTCTTCTAACGTTGGCACAGTATCCGTCTGTTCTGGCTAGAATGAGCAGATTACCGATTGATTTTACTCGTTCCATGGCATTGCTCTTTGAACCCTCTCTTGAACGAATGATCTATATAATTATTCATGATTTCTTTTTCTGCCTGTAGGATGCTGACTCATCAGAGCGAGTTCTTGCCGCCATGCGCTGGGGTCTCATCCCTTCCTGGTTCACTGAAAGCGACCCCTCCAAAATGCAGTACAACACCCAGCAACTGCCGCAGTGACACCATGGCTCAGAAAACCTTGTACAAGGTGAAGGTGCTTTAGTTTTCATGAAATGCATCCTGTAATTTTTTGTGTCTAATGCAGGCCATAGACGGGTCGTTTATCGTTCAAAAATCGCCCGATAATCACGCCGTTAATGGGGCCAGCCTGTCTGCCGTTTTTCGCGGATCTCCTCATTTATTTTTATCGGTCATACTGGAAAATCCGCAAAAAACAGCCGTTTTTAGTAGACATGGGTGGCAGCATCGGCAACGGGGCCGACCGATTTTTTTGTTTATCGGCGAAAATTGGGCCGATATAAATGGCCCGTCTATGGCCTGCATTACAAAATTGGCCCGATAAACGGCCCGTCTATGGCCTGCATTACATTCTCTTGCAGAAGGCTGGGGATTTGCCTTTGCCTGTTCAAGCTTGTGTCTGTCACATGCCTGATGAAGGGGTCCTGCGAGACTCCGAAACGTTGCCTTGCTGTAACTATGTGATGGTTTATTAAAACCTTTGGACCCATATTGGTGATCCTCGGTGTGCTGGTGACATTTTTTCCTTTCTTTGCACAGGAACACACATACATATGTCTTGTCAATATAGTGACACCTCCTTGAGGATCGGGCTTTATCGCCCAAAACCTCAGTTGTTGCACCTTTTTTTTCTTTCTGACTGCCGTAGCTATTGCTTTACTACCTGGTATGCCATTAAATAGTCTCTGTATGTCCAAATAATTGTATCTTTCCAACTGGATCTTCCACAACTCGTGTCTGATTTATGTGGTAGGAGGGAAAGGGGATGACTCCCCTATTTGATAAGCACCCCCTGTGATCTGTTTAGAAAAGTTGTTCAGGATACAATCTCTAATTTTCCAGATCTCTCTTCACAGGGGCCGCTCTTTAAAGGAAAGCGCTGTGTAATTCTAGCAGATGGATTCTTTGAGTGGAGAAGGCAGGATGGTGAAAAGCAGCCATATTATATATATTTCCCGCCAATTAAAGCTGAACAGGTATCCAACCGAACTCACTCAATTACTTTGTTACATTCTGCTCTTGTGATTCTCTATGCACTACAGCAATATCATGGTTGGTGAGGGGAGCTGAGGGGCCAGAAGGGGGCTGTTCATAGATTCCTGAAAACATCATAACAGCCTGTCACTGTGCTCCTCTCAAGCCCTCAATCCAGATGTGAAGAGTGGGCTGAATCGTGGGACAGGTTATGCAAATTTGTGTATTTGCTTTGATGGTAGGGTGTCAGTTTGGAGGAGCATGCGCTCTTAGGCGCAGGGGTGTCCCTAGGCAGTTGCGGGGGGTGAGCGGTGACACCGGACCCGCTCCACCAGGGGCAGACTGACCATTCGGGCACTGTCCGAGGGTCCGGGGACACTACAGCGCCCCGTGAGAGGCTCAGGCTGTCCCTGTATGTGCCACTTCTGGAATAAGCAAACATTGAGGGGATGGACAGTGAGACAGGCACTTAGTACACCTCTCCTCCTTGGAATTTCAGCAGAGGGGGGGGGGTCCAAATCCCTGCCACGGTTGCTGAAGATGGAGAGCTAAAGGGGCGGGCAGAGTATATAGCAGGTCAGTGTATAATCCCCCCGACCCTGGTGACATCACTGCTGCTTCATGTAGTGGGGGGGGGGGGGGGGGGGGGACGCCACTGCTTAGGTGGTTTTCATTTGCATAATGACCTCCCTAGGTAATGCCTGCAGGTAATGCCTAGCTTCCATGTTTTTTTTTTTTGTGTCCTATTGGAGAGTTTCCCTTCACTTCCTGTCCTGACAGGAAATTAGGTTAGACCTCCACAATTAGGATGCCGACAGAAATAAAAACCTAATCAAAGCTATGACTCTTCCTTGCAATTTCCCAAGTTTTGACCGGCTTTAAGGTGTTAACACTTAAAAATGACTTCCACATAACAAATGTTACAAATGGTTCTTGTCTTGTACTCTGCTTGTAGTCTTCAGATGAGGAGGGTTCTCCTGATGGCGGTGCCAGGAGGTTACTCACTATGGCTGGACTGTTTGACTGCTGGGAGCCACCCAATGGAGGAGAGCCCCTGTATTCCTACACAGTAATCACAGTGGATGCATCCAAGGCCATGAACTGGATACATGACCGGCAAGTATAGAAAACCTAAATGAGTGGATCTTGTGTATAGACCAGGGGTGGACTGACAACTCATGGGGCCCCCGGGCAATAGGGGATCATGGGGCCCCTGTGTCCTTGCCCACAGTCAAAGCACACCCAAAAAAGCCTATGAAAAAGGTACCAGGGGCATCTCATGGGGCCCCCTACTGACCCCGGGCCCTCGGGCAGTGCCCGAGTTTCCAAATGGTCAGTCCGCCCCTGGTATAGACCGTGTGGATTGTGGAGCGATTCCAAGCACTCTATGTCCATAAGGCACATAGAGCCGCAGCTCGGCCCTGGCCCCTGCTCTCTACTCATTGGCTCACTTACTATGATTGACAGCAGTGGGAGCCAATGGCTCATGCTGCTGTGTGTCAGCCAATGGGAGAGAGAGAGACCTGGGACAGCCGAGGCTCCCATGCACATCGCTGGATCGAGATGGGGCTCGGGTGAGTATTAGGGGGCTGTGGGGGGAGCAGCACACAGAAGGTTTTTTACCTTCATTCATTCATTCATTCTTCCTTTATAACCACTTTATTCCCTCTCTTACATTTTTCTGATGCTCATTAGAACTGAAGAAGTGGCTTGGAGAAGCTACAAAACGTCTTCAGCATTTACAGAATCAGTCCAGCTGAATGTGACTAAATATCATTTATAATGATTACTGTTCTAATCAGGCGCGGACTGACAACTCATGGGGCCCCCGGGCAATAGGGGATCATGGGGCCCCTGTGTCCTTTCCCAAACTCAAAAAAGACTATGAAAGGTACCAGGGGCATCTCATGGGGCCCCCTACTGACCCCGGGCCCTCGGGCAGTGCCCGAGTTTCCAAATGGTCAGTCCGCCCCTGGTTCTAATAAATGTACTCCGTCCGTCCGGTGAATGGAAAGTCTTTTCTTTTCTAGAGATGTCTGGAGTCTCTGCCGTCTGCAAGGAGTAATCAGTTTCCATTACCACAGCTTCGATGGAAAGCTGATCTACAAAAGAATAAAATGTTTTACCACCTTGATTCATATCTGAAAATTGAAATTTGCGGTTTTTGTGGGCACAGCAGATTAATCCGTATAGTGAGCCGCCACTGTCTGGAGAAAGTGATGACCTGTTTGTTTCTATAGTCTTTCTCTCTGTTCCTCTGGTGGAAGTGTCGGTTGTGTTGGGCTCTCCTGTTGACTCAGTGCTCAGTGAAGCAAATCATCTCTCTTCCTCCATCCAGCCGGCTGAACTAACAACCACAACGCCTGTGACTCCTCCTTTTCTGTAACGCTACTGACATCAAAACACCGAGCTCTAAAAACAAACAAAAGAATAAAATAAATCCTGGGGTGTATAGAGGACAGCACAAGGTAGACTCTACCCCTTGCAGAGTGCTGTCTGAGCACCTGGAAAACCTGAATGCTAGTTTAGCCCCGGACCTCGTGGTATGTGAGAGCAACTCTGGTCAGCTGCATTATTATTATTATTATTATTATTATACAGGATTTATATATTATTATTATACAGGATGTATATAGCGCCAACAGTTTGCTCAGCGCTTATTACATTTTTTTTTTGGGGGGGGGTTGAGATATGTTTTTACAGGGTTAGCTCACCTTTAGGGACATCTTGCACAAACTCCCATATGCACTGCAGCATCCCAAACACATTACAATCCCCTCTTCAGATTATTTATTTCAGGTACTTATATAGAGCCATCAATTTACACAGCATTTTACATATATATTGTACATTCACATCAGTCCCTAACCCTCAAGGGGCGTACAATCTAAGGTCCCTAACCCTCAAGGGGCGTACAATCTAAGGTCCCTAACCCTCAAGGGGCGTACAATCTAAGGTCCCTAACCCTCAAGGGGCGTACAATCTAAGGTCCCTAACCCTCAAGGGGCGTACAATCTAAGGTCCCTAACCCTCAAGGGGCGTACAATCTAAGGTCCCTAACCCTCAAGGGGCGTACAATCTCCCTAACCCTCAAGGGGGTACAATCTAAGGTCCCTAACCCTCAAGGGGTACAATCTAAAGTCCCTAACTCACATTCATACATATACATTTTTTTTTTTTTTTTTTTTTAAGTCCGCAAACTTGCAACTATAACGAAAAACCCGTAAGTGTTCACAAAAAAAGTGCAAGTGTAAAACACCACACGAAAAAGTGCACTTAGGGGTGTGCTTTGTCCTACCCCCGAAGGGGTTGGACCACTACCCTGATCCCCCGGGGCACGAAGCTCCTGATATGGACAAGGTTCCCATTTGGTCCTCCTGGCCAAAAGGCCTGGCGGACCACCGTTCCTTGTGGCCAGCCGAAGCCGGACACCCAGTACTTGGTCAGGGGGCTCTCCCGAAGAGAAAACCCCCCAGGGACAGGGGAGGTAGGAACCAAAAAGGCCACACATCCTCCCCCCTAGACTTCAGGGCAGGCCCGAGGACCCACACCCTCCATCCTGTGAGGAAAACACACACATAAGTAAAGAAAAAGTGACAATACGTGGGAGTGAAAATAAATTAAATAAATAGAAAATAAAAAAGTGGTCGTGCCAAATAGTGCACAGACCAGGCCCTGAGGCCTATAGCAAAAATTGCCCTGGTCCTAGCCAGAAGGCCTGGTCCTAAGGGCGCTGTGCAGAAAAAGTTTGTAAACAAGTGACCATGTGCCATCTTCACACAGTGGGGTCCCACACCCAGGTGCTACTAGTGGCACCCCTGAGGCGACTACTGAGGGGGTACTGGTTTGCGGACTCTCTGCCTTCCCGACCCCTGGCCAGACAAGGTAGATCCGTCCAAATCAGGAGGTACTGGGTCCTTCAGACGTTCCAAACGGGAATTACTACCAGGCCCCAGCTACGTGTGGGTTTCCCGGGTTCTGTTCCCCCCCGTAATAGCCATCCAGACCCCCATCATACCAGCAGGGGTACTATACAACAGTCATCCCCGCAAAGCTAGAATGACCATGGAGCACCCCCACTGGACACTGATAAGAACAGATACTGCACTTGATCTTAGCCAAAAGGCCGAGAAGCGATACACATTCATACATACACATACTAGGGACAATTTAGATAGGAGCCAATTCACCTACCAGCATGTCTGGAGTGTGGGAGGAAACTGGAGTACCCGGAGGAAACCTGCACAGGCATAGGGAGAACATGCAAACTCCAGGCAGGAGGTGCCGTGGCTGGGATTCAAACCAACGACCCGAGTACTGCCAGGCTTAAAAACATAAAATAAAATAACAAGTGCTTACTTGTCCTTCAAAACATGAGGTGCCTGTCTGCAAAAGCTCGGAGTAGGTGGACAACCCCCCCCCCCCCCCACACACACACACTCCATCCAGCCTAAGGCTGGCCATACACTATACAATTTTCTGTCTGATTTCTACCCAATTTCTTTTAGATTTACCTTCAACTACGTAGTGCAAGGGCTGGCCTAATTGGATACAATTGAAAATGTTGTTAGGCTTGAGCTCTTATTATATATTTTTTGGTAAATCTAAACCAAAAATCTCAAGAAAATTGTATAATGTATGGCCGGCCTTAGACTGGCCATACATTATGCAATTTTCTGTTCATTTTCTGCCCAATTTCCTTTAGATTTACCTTCAACTATGAAGTGAAAGGGCCTTTCTAATTGGATACAATTGAAAGTGTTTAGGTTTAACCGCCTATTATATAACTTTTGTTAAATCTAAAGCAATTTTCTAAAGAAAATTGTATAATGTATGGCGGGCCTTAAAGACAGGATGTTACAAGCATGCTCCCTAAATCAGGTGCGTTGGCTCATTTTTAAAGACTATACATGCGCAGTGCCTGAGCTCACGGAGGAGAGCCCGGTCTTTGACCCTAGGTTCACATCTGTGCGGGTGGTGCCGCTGCGGATCCGCACGAAAATCCGCGCAGCTGCACCTCCCGCACAGAGAATTGCAGAACGGCGGGCGGGTGCCATTACTTCTAATGGTACGCCGCCCGCACTGGAAAACACAACCGTACTGCGAACCTCGGCTGCATTTTCCAAAGTAGTGCAGGGACTTCTTCCCTGCATGTCACAGGCACAGGAGTCCATTCAAATGAATGGGCTCTCATGCCCGTGCAAAACGTGGCCCACACGGCCGCCTAGATGTGACCCGGGGGGTGAATGAGCCAGAGTGCTCAATCCTTTGGTGCTGGGAGCATGCTTGTAACGTCTTGCAATTTAGACAGGACAGAGGGGGTCATCTACTGTTTTGTGGGCAGGCCGTGTATGGCCTACAGGTATGAAATGACAAAGGAGAACTTTTTTTTTTTTTTTTTTAAAGCTTATGAGTAGATTTTAATGTGCTTGGGATGGTGCTTGTGGAAAATGTCCCAAGAGATGAACCAACCTTTTTAATTTTCAGGCAGCAGTCCTGTTATCTGTGTTTTAACATCCTCCAAACTGGAGCTTTAGGCCGGGTTCACACTGATGCGTTGTGGGTAAAGCACAGGAATCGCTGTATTTCCCACATCGCACCGCATAGCAATCGCACTGCGATCTGCTGCGGGTGTCAAAAGTTGATGATGCCCCAAAAGCGGAATGCGGTGTGTTTGCCTGAATCGGATCGCATGGGTATGAACACGGCAAAAAAAAAAAAAAAAAAAAAATATAAAGTTCCCACACCTTTTTCGTGTGTATGGAGTGCGATTTGAGCCATACAGAATGCAATGAGCCATGCGAATCACATGCGATGTGACAGTGTGAACCTGGGGCTAACAGACTTCAAGAAAAGCTGCATAAATTGATATTAGAGGCTTAAAGCGACATTAAAGCTTTAATTTTTTTTTTTTTTTTACATTTAAAACAACAAACATGTACTACCTACCGGCTCTGTGCAATGGTTTTGCACAGAGAAGCTCTGTTCCTCTTCATCTGAGGCCCCCTGCCGGCGGTCCAGGCTCCTCCTCTTCAGCCAGTGCCCCCATAGAAAGCCTCTTTCCATGGGGTCACCCGTGTATGCTCATTCCAAAGCCGCCCTGCCTGACACAGAGTGGGTGGTTCGGCCCCCGCCCCCTGCTTTCTTAGCACAGCATTCGATTGAGAGCAGCAGGAGCCAATGGCTCCCGCTATTATCAATCCGCCAAGGGAGGCGGCAGCCAGAACTGCTGCTCCTGTGTACGTCGCTGGATGGAATGGGGCGCAGGTAAGTATAAGGCGGGGGGGGGGGGGGGGATTCTGCAGCACAGGTTTTTCTCCTTAGAATGCATTAAGGTGAAAAACGTTAAGGGTTTAAAGTCACTTTAAATAAAAAAGCAAACATGTTATACTTACCTGCTGCGTGCGTTGGTTTTGCACAGAGCAGCCCCAATCCTCTTCTCGGGCCCCTCCCCCCCGCGCTCTGGGTCCCTCTCCTCTGCTAAGTGCTTGCTATGGGGGCACTCGTGTGTGCTCGCTCCCAAGCCCCACTCTGCGTGTTCACAAGATACACAGAATGGGGCTCGGCCCCGCCACTGCTCCCTCCTCACTGACTGTAACTGACATCAGTGGGAGGCAGAGAGCCGGTGCAGCAGCTGCTCTCATGCACATAGCTGAACTGGGCTCAGGTAAGTGTTAGGGGGGCTGCGGGGAGAGCCGCATAGAATGCCTGAAGGTGAAAAAACTTTCAGGCTTTACAACTAATTTAAACTCAAATGCCTTGTAAAAGCTTACGGTACATACTGACCGATCTTGTACAATCCTGATGTCCTTATGTACAAGGTCTTCAAGAAAAATTAAATAGATTTCTCCATCCCAGAGAATTAAAACCAGGCACAGCCAGGAAACTAGCATTTTCAGGGTGGGCAAGGACAGCAGCCTATACATTCCTCTAATTACAGATCTTTTTTTATAGTTTCTTCTCCTGTAGAGTACAATTTTCTCACGTCTCCTGTCGCTTGCTTTATTCGCAGAATGCCGGCTATACTGGACGGAGACGAGGAGATCCAGAAATGGCTGGATTTTGGCGAGGTGCCGGCCAAAGAAGCACTTAAACTCATTCACCCCATTGAAAACATCACCTACCACCCTGTGTCCACCATAGTGAACAACTCCCGAAACAACACCCCGGAATGCCTTGTTCCCATCATTCTGAAACCCAAAAAGGTCATTATGTAACCCGGCAGGTCTATGTGTTCTGAGATCTTATTTATGTTCTCTCAAAGTTTTCCTTTCTTTTCCTCTCCCCTCTTACTTAGGAGCCCGCGCTCAGCGCCAGCAGTAAAAAGATGTTGGAATGGCTGCAGAGTAAATCTCCAAAAAAAGAGTCCGGAGGGACGCTGACGTCACCGAAACTTTCTCAGCTTGCAGTGTCACCCAAAAAGACCAGCGCGGGGTTAATGCATCAGTGGCTGAAGAAAGAAGGGGAGCCTTCTCCGAAGAGAGTGAAGAGATGATGGCGCAGATGGCGTGCTACAATTCGCACATGGCTCCTTCACTTTACAGTCAGCTGTTCCCATCACCAAGCATTATCCTGTCTTGTTTCCAAAAAAAAAAAACAAGCAATCCGATTGGTCAGGTTACTCTGCTTCCCGTGTTGCAGAAACGGCACAGGGATTGTAAACCATATTGCACAAACTTTTAAAAGGAAGTGCGCTTATCCTTTTTGCCCCCAACCTTGGCCCACCCTCCTACTGTTTTGGATGTGATCACTTACCGACCACAGCTGTTGTGAGATGCATACGCGCTTCAATCCAATGGCCACTGCCTCCGTATTTTACAGCCAGCTGCAAGTCTTCACTGTCCAGCCACACCTGAGCATTGCAGCCCTACAGACGTCCATTGAACTGTAATGTGGAGGTGTGGCCAGGGACAGCGAAGACTCACCGCCGGATGTAAACAAACAGCTGGGCCACTTCTGTTAGATCAAGGTAAGTATGCATATGTGGAGGAGGTGGGTGGGTTAGGTGTGTATTAAAGTGCGTTTATCCTTTACACTTGGCTGTCCTTGAGCCTTTTACTAATAGTTTGTATCCTCGTATGGATGTTTAATAAAGATTTTGTTTATTATGTTTAATAAAGATCTGGTCTATGTTGATTATAACATGCTCTGCTGTGTTTCTCATCTTATAATTTTTTTTTTTTCAAGCTGATCCAGTGCATAAAGATTTTTCTTGTTAGTGGTGATATGTATCTCTGATTTAAAGTGGTTCTAAAGCCCCAAGGTTTTTTTTTTTTTTATCTTGGTGCATTCTATGTATTAAGGTAAAAAACATTCTGTGCCATTGACACACCCCCCTCATCCCCCTTACCTGAGCCCCATTGTAATCCAGCACCGTACATATGAGCTGCGGCTCTCCTGGCTTTCTCCATCCTCACTGGGCAGATTGATAGCAATGGGAACCATTGGCTCCCACTCCTGTCAGTCAAATCCAGTGACCAGGGGGTGGGGGTGAGTTGATGTGTCAATGGACAGGCTGCACGTTAAAGGAAACTTTTAAAATTCCTTTACAACCACTTTAAAGGAATCCTTTTCTGTATGTGTAACTGCATGCTACATTCTTGAAGCTCAGTCATTCTAACAGCAGGTCTGCTCCAGCCTCCCAACAGTGATTCAGTAGCTCAGCTTCTCTCCCAGCGGCGACTCGGTGGCTCCGCTCCCCCTCTCCCAGCGGCGACTCGGTGGCTCCGCTCCCCCTCTCCCAGCGGCGACTCGGTGGCTCCGCTCCCCCTCTCCCAGCGGCGACTCGGTGGCTCCCCCTCTCCCAGCGGCGACCCTCCTCCCCCTCTCCCAGCGGCGACTCGGTGGCTCCGCTCCCCCTCTCCCAGCGGCGACTCGGTGGCTCCGTGGGCTCGGTAGCTCCGCTCCCCCTCTCCCAGCGGCGACTCGGTGGCTCCGCTCCCCCTCCCCAGCGGCGACTCTCCCCCCTCTCCCAGCGGCGGCTCGGTGGCTCAGCTCCCCCTCTCCCAGCGGTGGCTCCGCTCCCCTCTCCCAGCGGCGACTCGGTGGCTCCGCTCCCCTCTCCCAGCGGCGACGCTGCAGAATATCTTGCTGGACTCTCCCAACAATGAATCAGCAGCTCAGTTCATCCTGATGTCCTCTTCTAGAAGTCACTCAGCTCATTCTGCTTCCTCTACCTGAGTTATTTAGTAGCTGAACTTATCCTGCTACCCCCTCCAAGCAATAACTCTGCTTCCACCTCCTAGCAGTGACTCCGCAGTCCTTCTCTTTTCCAGCAGTGACTGCAGTTCAGCTTCCTCCTCCTTGCAGTCACTTCATATCTCAGCTGCTCAGTTATCCCTGCTCAAGCAGAGAACATGAGCTTTACTGATCGCAAACCTATAGTTCTGACCCGGCAAGGATCATGTAGGACCTCTGCAGAGAGATCGCTGCTTCCAATCTAAGAGCACAGATCCTTCTCTACAGCATACTGGCGGGGAACAGACTTTTCTACTCGCGCTGTGGCTGCTTTATCAGTAAACGAACTGTTGTGATGTACCTAGAAGGATTTTAGGTGAACTGAATGTTCATTTGGCCTTTAAAACCTTTTTCAGGGGGAGGCAGGGTTACCCAACAGAAGTAAATTTTCATTCCCAGACAGGATTTCTACACAATTGGACATATTTGGCCCGGTGGAAAAATCTGTTCTTTGTACTCCTTCTATCACCTGTGAGCTTTAGGCCTTCTTTGGGAGTCATTAATGTAGTGACATAAGACGGATTAGGCGATAAAGATCTTTCCATCGTCTCTGTAGCGGCGGTGTGACACGGTCTGCCCGTATTTACGATCCGCGTGCGGTCCTTGCAGCACTGGCTGAAATTGTTGGGCACAGATTGATGACTTCATTGTTTTATATCGGCTGACTGCTTGGCATATTTATCTCACCTTGTAACCCCCATCCCTGCCAGATGGCGCAAAGAATTCCAGCCAAATGAAGCTGGCCTGACCAAATGCGATTCTGCGGTTGGGTAGTGAGGATAAAAACTTCCCGTAGCTGGATAAGTGCAAATTATGATAAATTTGTCCTGCAAAATGGCCTCGAGCCTTCAAGGTCCTTTCATGCTGAAGTGTACTGGTGCGGTGAGGCGGTTGGGTTAAGGCAGCCCATTTGTCATGGATAACCTGCCAATGTACCACAATGGATGAAAAATTAGTGTGCCCTTTTTTTGTTTTGTTTGTAACAATGTAGCGTACCAGAGTGCAGAGTTGTGGTGTGCTCCTGTACATTGTACTATGCATTGGGACACCATTCATAATGAACACCACAGGCAGCACAGTGGCTAAATGGTTAGCACTTCCACCTGGCAGTACTCGGGTCGTTGGTTTGAATCCCAACCACAATACCACCTGCCTGGAGTTTGCATGTTCTCCCTGTGCCTGCGTGGGTTTCCTCCCACACTCCAAAGACATGCTGGCAGATTAATTGGCTCCTGTGCCTAGTATGTATGAATGTAAGTTAGGGACCTTAGATTGTACACCCCTTGAGGGTTAGGGACTGATGTGAATGTAATATATATATGTAAAGCGCTGCGTAAATTGGCAACACAATATAAGTACCTGAAATTTAGAAGAAAAAAAAAATATATATATATATATATACACAATGGGGATCGAAAGTTTGGGCACCCCAGCTAAAAAATTGTATTAATGTGCATAAAGAAGCCAAGGAAAGATGGAAAAATCTCCAAAAGGCATCAAATTACAGATTAGACATTCTTATAATATGTCAACAAAAGTTAGATTTTATTTCCATCATTTACACTTTCAAAATAACAGAAAACAAAAAAATGGCGTCTGCAAAAGTTTGGGCCCCCTGCAGAGTTAATATCTTGTACTGCCCCCTTTGGCAAGTATCACAGCTTGTAAACACTTTTGTAGCCAGCCAAGAGTCTTTCAATTCTTGTTTGAGGTATCTTTGCCCATTCTTCCTTACAAAAGTCTTCCAGTTCTTTGAGATTTCTGGGCTGTCTGTCACACACTGCTCTTTTAAGGTCTATCCATAGATTTTCAATTATGTTGAGGTCAGGAGATTGTGAAGGCCATGGCAAAACCTTCAGTTTACGCCTCTTGATGTAATCCCCCGTGGATTTCGAGGTGTGTTTAGGATCATTATCCATTTGTAGAAGCCATCCTCTCTTTAACTTCAGCTTTTTCACAGATGGCATCAAGTTACCATCCAAAATTTGCTGAAATTTTATTGAATCCATTTTTCCTTCTACTCGTGAGATGTTCCCTGTGCCACTGGCTGCAACACAACCCCAAAGCATGATTGATCCAACCCCATGCTTAACAGTTGGACAGAGGTTCTTTTCATTAAATTCTGTGCCCCTTCTTCTCCAAACGTACCTTTGCTCATTCCGGCCAAAAAGTTCAATTTTAACCTCATCGGTCCACAGAACTTGTTTCCAAAATGCATCAGGCTTGTCTATATGTTCATTTGCAAAGTTCAAACGATGATTTTTGTGGTGAGGACGTAGAAGAGGTTTTCTTCTGATGACTCTTCCATGAAGACCATATTTGTACAAGTATCTGTTTATAGTGGAATAGTGTACCACAACTCCAGTGTCTGCCAGATCTTTCTGGAGGGATCGTGCAGTCAAACGTGGGTTTTGAATTGTTTTTCTCACAATCCTGCGAGCTGTTCTGTCTGATATTTTTCTTGGTCTTCCAGATATTGCTTTAACTTCCACTGTTCCTGATGACTGCCATTTCTTAATTACATTCCGAACAGAGGATATTGACATCTGAAAACACTTTGCTATCTTCTTATAGCCCTCTCCAGCTTTGTGAGCGTCAACTATTTTCAGTTTCAGTTTTCTAGACAACTGCTTAGAAGAACCCATGGTGCTGATTGTTGGGGCAAGGTCAGATGAGTCTGGGCATTTAAAACCTTTGAGATTGACATCACCTGGTCTTCCCAGACGATGATTGAGAACAATCCATGACACTGGCAGGTCTCAGCTTTGCAAAGGGGGCAGTGCATGCTATAAATTCTGCAGGGTGCCCAAACTTTTGCAGACGCCATTTTTTTGTTTTCTGTTATTTTGAAAGTGTAAATGATGGAAATAAAATCTAACTTTTGTTGACATATTATAAGAATGTCTAATCTGTAATTTGATGCCTTTTGGAGATTTTTCCATCTTTCCTCAGCTTCTTTATGCACATTAATGCAAATTTTTAGCTGGGGTGCCCAAACTTTCGATCCCCACAGTGTGTATATATATATATATATATATATATATATATATATCACATCAGACCCTAACCTTCACAGAGCGTACAATCTAACATCCATAACCCGCACACATACTGGGGACAATTTAAACAGTAGCCAGTTTACCTACCAGCATGTCTTTGGAGTGTGCGAGGACACTGGAGTACCCGGAGGAAACCCACACAGGTGGTCCATATATATTTGGACTCAGGCACAATTTTAGTTCTTTTCAGGTATTTACCAAAACATATTCAAGCTATAGTTCTATAATGGATATGGGCTGAAAGTGAACACTCTCAGGTTTAATTTGAGGGTATGTACATCCAAATTGGAGGAAGGGTTTAGGAATTACAGCTCTTAAGAGTAGCCATCCCCCTTTTTCAAGGGACAAAAAGTAATTGGACAATGGAATGAAAAGTTGTTTCATGGCCAGGTGTGGGCTACCCCTCTGTTGTTTCTTCATCAATTAAGCAGGTAAAAGGTCTGGAGTTGATTCTAAGTGTGGTATTTTCATTTGGAATCTATTTCTGTGAACCTACATCAAAGGAGCTGTCCATGCAAGTGAAGCAGGCCATTGTAACGCTTCAAAAATGAAACAAATCCATCAGAGAGATCGCAGCAACATTAGGAGCGGCCAAATCAACAGTTTGGTACATTCTGAGGGAAGAACACACTGGTGAGCTCAGCAACATAAAAAGGCATGGACGTCCATGGAAGACAACAGTGGTGGATGATTGCAGGATCCTCTCTATGGTAAAGAAAAACCCATTCACAACATCCAGACAAGTGAAGGACACTCTCCAGGAGGTGGACGTATCATTGTCAAAGTCTACAATCAAGAGAAGACTTCACGAGAGCAAATACAGAGAGTTCACCACAAGGTGCAAACCATTCATTAGCCTGAAGAATAGAAAAGCCAGATTAGACTTTGCCAAAAAAAAATCTAAAAAAGCCAGACCAGTTCTGGAAAAGCATTCTTTGGACGGATGAAACTAAGATGAATCTGTACCAGAATGACGGGAAGAAAAAAGTGTGGAGAAGGCTTGGAGCAGCTCATGATCCAAAGCACACAACTTTATCTGTAAACCATGGCGGAGGCAGTGTGATGGCATGGGCATGCATGGCTTCCTGTGGCACTGGGTCATTGGTGTTTATTGCTGATGTGACAGAAGCAGCCGGATGAATTCTGCAGTGTTTACAGATACACTGTCAGCCCAGATTCAGCCAAATGCAGAAAAGTTGATTGGACCGCACATCACAGTACAGATGGACAATGATCCAAAACACACTGCAAAAGCTTTTGAAGGAAAAGAAGTGGAATATTCTGCAATGACCGAGTCAATCACCTGATCTCAACCCAATTGAGCATGCATTTCACTTGCTGCAGGCAAAACTAAAGGCAGAAAGATCCACAAACAAGAACAACTGAAGACAGCTGCAGTTACATGTCTTTAGCAAATAATAATAACATAATAAATATAATAATAATTAAAAAATTATAATAAAAACATATAATAATAATTATTACATTTCATAATTACTACTTTAATGCCTTTTTACAGGTTACTTTTTCATGTTCTGTTACAGAATGATGTTACAGTTATTAATTACATGAATCTGATTGGTTTATACTTATATAAAAAAAAAAATTCCTCAGTCTGCCCCCAGAGACCCCCTCTGTCCCTGCAGACACAGGACCAGCAGATGACCCCCATAAGGCAGTGATGAGACTCCTGGGGAACAAAGAGTATGCCAAGCCTCCCCAAAAGAACCCCCCCCCCCTTCCCAGTCCAGTCTTCATGCAAAATTCTCTGCATTCACTGGAAGGATCATGACGTCATCCGCAAGTGAAAGGTGGGGTGGGGGGTGGTAATCATTAACGGACTTATTTTCCTACAGGTTCATTTTTCAAGTGCTGTTAATGTCCTAATTTATTCATTATTAAATTGATAGAAGAGAAATGTAATCATTATTAAATGTAACAATTTACAATTAATTAATGCAAAATGTCTTTTAGCCGGTTATTCTTGAAAAAAAAAATATAGTTATATTTTTATTTAATATAATATAGTTATATTTTTATATAAACTATATATATATTTTTAAATTATTATTTATTTATTTTTTTCCTATATTATGGCTTTCTATGCATTAGTTACAGAAATCTGATTGGTTAATATTTATGTGAAGAAAAACTCCATAGCTCCCTTTATATAGGGAAATAAAATGCCCCCCCCCCCCCCCCCCCCCCCCCCCCGGCACAGAACCAGCAGCTGACCCCCATAAGGCAGCCCCCAGCTCTGTGGACGCGGCTCTGCTCAACGACAGGGGGCGTGTGTATGCAAATCGCGGATGATTATTCGGGCGAATGAGAACGAGGAAACGCAAGGGGGCGGGCCAATGGCAGCCAGCGGTCTGCAAGGAAAGGCCGCGGTGGGCGTGGCGTGAGCTCAGTGCAGGGCTGTCTGTCGCGGAGGGAGCTTCGTCCAGCCAGAGTCCAGCAGGTAGGTTGCGCTCCGCGGTAGGAAGGTTGAACGGTAGGTAGGTTGCGCTCCGCGGTAGGAAGGTTGAACGGTAGGTAGGTTGCGCTCCGCGGTAGGAAGGTTGCACGGTAGATGCGCTCCGCGGTAGGTAGGTTGCGCTCCGCGGTAGGAAGGTTGAATGGTAGGTAGGTTGCGCTCCGCGGTAAGAAGGTTGCGCAGTAGGTAGGTTGCGCTCCGCGGTAGGAAGGTTGCGCTCCGCGTAAGTAAATTTTCGATCTTGACCCCTTCTCCCCCCGCTCTTCGTTTTGTGTCTCCCGCAGGTGTGACCCCCATGTCGGGCCGAGGGAAATCCGGCGGCAAAGCCCGAGCCAAGGCCAAGTCCCGCTCCTCCCGGGCCGGACTCCAGTTCCCCGTAGGCCGCGTCCACCGGCTCCTCCGGAAGGGTAACTACGCGGAGCGGGTGGGGGCCGGGGCCCCGGTGTACCTGGCCGCCGTGCTGGAGTATTTGTCCGCCGAGATCCTGGAACTGGCCGGTAATGCCGCCCGGGACAACAAGAAGACCCGGATCATCCCCCGACACCTCCAGCTGGCCATCCGCAACGACGAGGAGCTCAACAAGCTGCTGGGAGGGGTGACCATCGCCCAGGGAGGGGTCCTGCCCAACATCCAGGCCGTGCTGCTGCCCAAGAAGACCCAGAGCTCCAAAAAATGAGACATTGGGGGAGGGGGGTCTACAATGATGGGGGGGGGGTCAAATTGTGACTGCACCCCAAGGTGACTCAGGGCTCCAAAAATGAGACATTGGGGGGAGGGGGGTCTACAATGATGGAGGGGGGTTCAAATTGTGACTGCACCCCAAGGTGACCCAGAGGATCAAAAATTAGACATTGGGGGAGGGGGGTCTACAATGGAGGAAGGGGATCTACAGTGGAGGAGGTGAATCTACAATAATGAAGGGGGATCTACAGTGCAGGAGGGGATCTGCAATGGGGGGGGGGTTTAAAATGGAGGAGGAGGGATCTACAATGATGATGGGGGGATCAAATTGTGACTGCACCCAAGATGACTCAGAGGTTCAAAAATGAGACATTGGGGGGAGGGGTGATCTACATTGGAGGTTGAGATGTGTCTGTTCCCCAAGAAGACCCAGAGCTGCAAAAAAATTAGACATGGAGTGAGGGGGTCTACAGTGGGGGAGGGGGGGGGGTGTTAAATTGTGACTGCTCACCAAGAAGATGCAGAGCTAAAAAAAATTAGAAATGGGAGAGGAGGGGGTCTGCAATGGAGGGAGATCTACAATGGGGGAGGGAGGGAAGTAAACTTTGAATGCTTCCCAAGAAGACCCAGAGCTCCAAAAAATGAGACATTGTCAGGGGGGGATCTACAATGGGGGAGGGAGATCTACAATTGAGGAGCGATGGAGAGTAAGCTGTAACTGCTTCCCAAGAAGACCCAGAGCTTCAAAAGATGAGACTCGGGGAGGGGGATCTACAATGGGGGAGGGGGATAAACTGTGACTGCTCCTTTAAAAAGGCCAAGAGCTCAAAAAAAAAAAAAAAAACTGGAGGGGGGTGGGGTGGGGGTATGCGGCATCTACAATGGGGGTGAACTGACAATGCAGGGTTAATGCACTGTGCATGACTTCCAAGGACAAACATTGGGGTTCAAGTGTGTCTCCCCAAAAATATATTCAACACCAGCACCTGCTGTAATCTCCAGGCATGTAATGCCCCCTCCCCCAATTCCTTATATCATAGATCACCCCCCCTCCCCCAAATCCTTATATCATAGATCACCCCCCCTCCCCCAAATCCTTATATCATAGATCACCCCCCCCCCCACTCCCCCAAATCCTTATATCATAGATCACCCCCCTCCCCCAATCCTTTTATTATATGTCACCCTCTCCCTCCTTATATCAGGGGTCACCCCTCCCCCATCCTAACATAAGTTCCCCCTGTCCCTAAAGCATAGGTCTCCCCATCTCCGATCTTTATAGGTCACCGTGCCCCCCCCCCCCCCCCTTCCAATTATATATCACAGGTCACCCTCTCCCTCCTTATATCAGGGGTCACCCCTCCCCCATCCTAACATCATAAGTTACCCCTGTCCCTAAAGCATAGGTCTCCCCATCCAATCCTTATAGGTCACCGCGCCCCCCCGCCCCCTCCGCCCCTCCAATTTTATATCATAGGTCACCTCCTCCCCTCACAATTTTTTTATATCACAGGTCAGCCCCTCCCTCCTTATATCAGGGGTCACCCCTCCCCTCCCCCCCTTCCAATTATATATCACAGGTCACCCCTCCCTCTGTATATCACAGGTCAGCCCCTCCCTCTGTATATCACAGGTCAGCCCCTCCCTCTGTATATCACAGGTCACCCTCTCCCTCCTTATATCAGGGGTCACCCCCCCCCCCCCCCCCCCCTCCAATTATATATCACAGGTCAGCCCCTCCCTCTGTATATCACAGGTCAGCCCCTCCCTCTGTATATCAGGGGTCCCCTCCCCCCCCCTCCCCCCCCTTCCAATTATATATCACAGGTCAGCCCCTCCCTCTGTATATCACAGGTCAGCCCCCTCCCTCTGTATATCACAGGTCAGCCCCTCCCTCTGTATATCACAGGTCACCCTCTCCCTCCTTATATCAGGGGTCACCCCTCCCCCATTCTAACATCATAAGTTCCCCTTGTCCCTAAAGCATAGGTCACCCCATCCAATCCTTATAGGTCACCGCGCCCCCCCCCCCCCCCCTCCAATTTTATATCATAGGTCACCTCCTCCCCTCCCAACTTTTTATATCACAGGTCAGCCCCTCCCTCCTTCTATCACAGGTCACCCCCTCCCCCACCTCAGTTCACAGGTTGGGGTACAGCTATTGTGTTCCCGGAACACGAGGGTTAATTCCTCCTTTAGGGTGTTAGCAGCGCGGTTGGGTAATGACACTTTCATATTGCTATGAGAACAACTGCCAGGATTCCAACTGTCACTCCTCACCAGGGTGGGTTGGGATTGGTTGCTCCGGTAAAAGAAGTTCTAATTTTCAGCACTTTGATAAATGAGAGATAAAGGGGACTTGTAGGGGACCTGGGAATCCCGCCTGTCCCTCATGGGACCTGTTATTGCAATGAAATGAATGGGCTGCCAAGGCAGCAAAACTCCTAAATCATTTTTTTTTGGACCATGTGTTGCCGTGCTCAGATTGAGTTGCACCACAATACAGTAACGCATATGAGTTACCACACCAAGGCACCGGTCACACCGCTGCGATTTAAAATTGCACAACTTGTGTACTTAGCGCGATTTCAGGTGCGATTTCTGAAAACGTTATTGCTACTTGTGAAGGTTTTCAACAATTTCTTGCCATTTGCAGTGCGATTTCCATTCTATTCTACGTATGAGAAATCGCAACAAAACTGCAGAAAAAGTCAGAACTACTTTAGAAATCGCGCTGCGGCAAATCGCACGTTAAGACGCCGACATTCACATTAGGTGTGATTTCAATTCGCAAATCGCACCTGCATGACCGGGCACTAATCAAGTACATTTATTTAGATTTTATTGCCCCTACAGGTTCCCTTTAAAGCAGGAAAGGGGTGCGCTCTATTTCCAACAGCAATAGTGTTGATTTTTTTTGGGGGGGTGGGGTGTTTTTCACGGTTGCCCCCCCAATCCGGCGACCCTGTGACTGCAGCGGTGGGATTCCATTTTGCATGATGAGGGTTCTCAGTACATACAATGTCATTCTGTTTAGGCTCCAAACCAGGGACGGACTGACAATTCATGGGGCCCCCGGGCAATAGGGGATCATGGGGCCCCTGTGTCCTTGCACACACTCAAAAAAAGCCTATGAAAGGTACCAGGGGCATTTCATGGGGCCCCCTACTGACCCCGGGCCCTCAGGGCAGTGCCCGAGTGTTCGAATGGTCAGTCCGCCCCTGGCTCCAACTGGTCCAGGATTTCATTTTCTTCTGCTGGGAATATTCAGTTCACTAACCTAGAACACAATATTGACTAGAAAGATCATTATTTTTACTATAACCATCATTTACCCCTCAGGTCACACCGAAGCGTTTTCTGCAGCGATTTGCAGGAACGCAGTACAGTCCATTTAACATCATTTCCTACGAGACACGTTCACATCTCCACGTTTTCACCCAATGCGTTTTTTTTGGAAACAGACTTTTTTGAACGCAAAAAGTTGAGTTTTTGGTTCTATAGACTTATTTATTTCATGTAATTATATAGCGCCGTCAATTTACGCAGCACTTTACATATATATTGTACATTCACATCAGTCCCTAACCCTCAAGGGGGGTACAATCTAAGGTCCCTAACCCTCAAGGGGGGTACAATCTAAGGTCCCTAACCCTCAAGGGGCGTACACAATCTAAGGTCCCTAACCCTCAAGGGGTGTACAATCTAAGGTCCCTAACCCTCAAGGGGCGTACAATCTACGGTCCCTAACCCTCAAGGGGCCTACAATCTACGGTCCCTAACCCTCAAGGGGCGTACAATCTACGGTCCCTAACCCTCAAGGGGCGTACAATCTACGGTCCCTAACCCTCAAGGGGCGTACAATCTAAGGTCCCTAACCCTCAAGGGGCGTACAATCTAAGGTCCCTAACCCTCAAGGGGCGTACAATCTAAGGTCCCTAACCCTCAAGGGGCGTACAATCTACGGTCCCTAACCCTCAAGGGGCGTACAATCTAAGGTCCCTAACCCTCAAGGGGGGTACAATCTAAGGTCCCTAACCCTCAAGGGGGGTACAATCTAAGGTCCCTAACCCTCAAGGGGGGTACAATCTAAGGTCCCTAACCCTCAAGGGGCGTACAATCTACGGTCCCTAACCCTCAAGGGGCGTACAATCTACGGTCCCTAACCCTCAAGGGGCGTACAATCTAAGGTCCCTAACCCTCAAGGGGCGTACAATCTAAGGTCCCTAACCCTCAAGGGGCGTACAATCTAAGGTCCCTAACCCTCAAGGGGCGTACAATCTAAGGTCCCTAACCCTCAAGGGGCGTACAATCTAAGGTCCCTAACCCTCAAGGGGCGTACAATCTAAGGTCCCTAACCCTCAAGGGGGGTACAATCTAAGGTCCCTAACCCTCAAGGGGGGTACAATCTAAGGTCCCTAACCCTCAAGGGGGGTACAATCTAAGGTCCCTAACCCTCAAGGGGCGTACAATCTAAGGTCCCTAACTCACATTCATACATACACATACTAGGACCAATTTAGACAGGAGCCTATTAACCTACCAGCATGTCTTTGGAGTATGGGAGGAAGCTGGCGTACCTGGAGAAAACCCACGCAGGCACAGGGAGAACATGCAAACTCCAGGGCAGGTGGTGCCGTGGTTGGGATTCGAACCTGCGACCCGAGTACTGCCAGGCAGAAGTGCTAACCATTTAGCCACTGTGCTGCCCTTTTTTAAATAACAGAACATGCAAAAATCAATAGAAAACACTGCAGAAAAACATGTGTTGCATTTTTGTCGCATTTTAAATTAAAGAAAAATGAGGGGAAAAATGCATTATAAATGCATAAGAAAACGCAATGCAGAAACAGCTCAAAGTCAACCTGCATAGCCTTAGAGCTGATCCTTCAATGGGGACAACCGCCCAAGAAGAAATTCCCCCTTACTTTTGGGAAAATTGAGAGTTTTTGGTTCCATAGACTTCAATGGAAAAACTGCAGAAAAGCATGTAGTGCGTTTTTGTTGTGTTTTAAATCTGCTTAACAAGATAATTTTTTAAAAATTAAATAAAAACCCGCATCAAAAAAACGGCAAAAACGCAAAATGAGACGGCTGAAATGCAACCTGCATAGGTGTGAACGGAGCCTTATTGTAACAATTTGTATTTACTAAACAATCATTATGTATCATAACAATCATTATTTACTATCAACATTCTGTTTTTTTCAGCTCCTGTAAGATCTCATGCTGGAAGTAGTGATTGTTATACCGGATATCAATGGTTCTAGTTTAGTGAATGGAGCTCCACGTGTCTGAAATGTTCACTTTTATTTTAGTTTGTGGTTTTGTGATGTGTTGTGTTCTGTAACATTCTGAGGGGGGGGGGGGGGGGGGGGGGGGGGGTCATTGGCTCCAGGGTCCTGGGTTTGTATTCAAACATTATTTTTTGAATCTCATTACAAACCAGATTTTAAACATCATAGAGGGCTGTGGTTTTGCAGTTTGCAGTCGAACTTGATAAAGTCCCACTATATGTTTGTTTTGTGTTCCCATTCAAACAGTATTCCTACAAAACATATATATATATAGATTGTAAGCTCCCAGGATCAGGGCCCTCCTATCCCTCTTGTATTGAACTGTATTGTTGCTGTATTGTCTCCCGTTATATTGTAAAGCGCTGAGCAAACTGTTGGCGCCATAAATCCTGTATAATAATAATAATAATATAATATAAATCCTGTATAATAATAATAATAATATATAAATCCTGTATAATAATATATATATATTTTATATATATATGTGTGTGTATATATGTATATATAATTATTATACAGGATTTATATAGAGCCAACAGTTTGCTCAGCACTTTACAATATAAGGCAGACAGTACAATTACAATACATTTCAGTACAGAAGGAATAGGAGGGCCCGGCTCATGGAGCTTACAATCTAAAGGGGGAGGGGATACAAAAGGTGATAGCGGCAGGGGATGATCTGGGGGAGGTGATTCAAATACTGTTCTTAGATGGAGGTGGGGTAGGCTGCCCTGAAGAAGTGAGTTTTCAAAGATCGCCTAAAGGCAGACAGGGTGGGGGCTGACCGGACATGCTGTGGTAGGGAGTTCCAGCGGATGGGAGAGGCACTGGAGAAGTCTCTCTCTCTCTCTCTCTCTCTCTCTCTCTCATTTTATATATATAAATAATTATATATAATTTTTATATACATATATTTTTTACCTGGTAGATCAGAATCCAGTAGGGACCGGCCAAATTTCATCCTACGTATGGGCTTGCTGGTTGTACACAAGGCAGTCTATTGATGGACTTCTGTACAACCAGCCTGTTGGATTTTCCCCAAATGATCAGTACCACCAGCTGTAGCCGGCAACAATGTTCGGTGGGAGTAGTTCCCCCATCCACCTCCGATGTGTGGACGGGGTAATCTGTTCTTTTTTTTTTTTTTTTTTTTTTTTTTCCCCACAACCCGCTGTTTGAAACAAACGAAAAAAAAATCGTGTCAAACTGTGGCCCTCCAGTTGTTGAGGAACTACAAGTCCCATCATGCCTCTGCCTTTGGGAGTCATGCTTGTAATTGTCAGCCTTGCAATGCCTCGTGGGATTTGTAGTTCTGCAACAGCTGGAGGGCAGCAGTTTGACACCCGTGATGTATGGCCAGCCCAAGGAGAAGGTGCCATGGCTGATTCTAGGAATTTCTGGGCAGTGTCACGGTGTCTTTGTCCCCACTAAGACTAAGTCATAGATATCATTACATAGATGAGGGTTCATTTCAGGGGTGGACTGACCATTCGGGCACTGCCCAAGGGCCCGGGGTCAGTAGGGGGCCCCATGAAATGCCCCTGGTACCTTTCATAGGCTTTTTTGGGTGTGGTTTGAGTGTGGGCGAGGACACGGGGCCCCATGATCCCCTTTTGCCCAGGGGCCCCATGAGTTGTCAGTCTGCCCCTGGTTCATTTGTTTTTCCCATTCAGCTACTAGACTGAACAACAACAAAAAAACAATTTTCTCCATTCATGCGGCCGAGGTGTAGGAACTCTCCACTGGCAGAATACACGGATCAGCAGGTGCAGCCCATTGGGGAAACATGTTTAATGAGCCTGTCAAGCAGGAGTGACTACGGTTTTATTTATTTCAGGTACTTATATTGTACATTCACATCAATCCCTAACCCTCGAGGGGTGTAAAATTTGAGGTCCCTAACTCACATTCATACATACAGGGCCATGGATAAGGGGGGGTACCACCAGTCCTCTTCTACAGGGCCCAGGCCAGCAGTGCGGCCCAGGCAGCTGGGTGAACGGCAGGGGGGGGGGAGGGGGCAATTACTGGAACAGCTCCCCTATACGGCTTTCTGCAGCAGCAGCTGACTTCTCCTTTCCCCCCTCTGCTGGCTTTCAGCTGCTGCAGAAAGAAACATACAGAGGATTGGTTCCACTAATTTATCAGCCCCTTCCTTTCCTGAATGTACACAGTGAGTGATGGGTACCGATCACTCACTGTGTTCATAACTGAAGCATAATAAATTGTGTTGGGGGGGGGGGGGGGGCTGTCAGGTTGCCGTTTATGGAACCTGGTGGTTTGGGGGGTCCTGTCAGGTTGGCTGTAATGGTTTCTAACAGCAGCCCTGTATATACTAGAGCCAATTTACCCACCAGCATGTCTTTTGAGTGAGGAACTAGTGCAGACATAGGGAGAACATGCAAACTCCAGGCAGATCATGCCGTGGTTGGGATTTGAACCAACAACACTAGTGCTGCTAGGTAGAAGTGCTAACCACTTAGCCAATGTGGTGTGTGAATACATGTGCATCGAACATGGCTATCGGTCTTCTGCTGAACTGGTCGAATTTTTCTCCATCTATGGCCAGCTTAAGCTATCCCTCATAAACAAACAATGTAGGAACGCATGGTTTACAGTGACATCTCAGTTACTGTGCTGGGACTGTTCCCCAGGGACACGTACACTCACCGGCCACTTTATTAGGTACACCATGCTCCCCCACACCATGACACCACCAGCCTGAACCATTGATACAAGGCAGGATGGATCCACCACACCATGACACCACCACCATCAGTCTGAACTGTTGATACAAGGCAGGATGGATCCACCACACCATGACACCACCACCACCAGCCTGAACCACTGACACAAGGCAGGATGGATCCACCACACCATGACACCACCAGCCTGAACCATTGATACAAGGCAGGATGGATCCACCACACCATGACACCACCAGCCTGAACCATTGATACAAGGCAGGATGGAACCACCACACCATGACACCACCATCAGCCTGACCATTGATACAAGGCAGGATGGACCACCACCACCTGACCATGACACCCACCACACCATGACACCACCACCAGCCTGAACCATTGATACAAGGCAGGATGGATCCACCACACCATGACACCACCACCACCAGCCTGAACCATTGATACAAGACAGGATGGATCCACCAACCATGACACCACACCACCAGCCTGAACCATTGATACAAGGCAGGATGGATCCACCACACCATGGCACCACCACCACCAGCCTGAACCATTGATACAAGGCAGGATGGATCCACCACACCATGACACCACCACCACCAGCCTGAACCATTGATACAAGACAGGATGGATCCACCACACCATGGCCATCAGACGTAAAAACAATCTTTGAGTAGCAATAGAACAAGTATAATAATAATAATAAGACACCAGCAGTTTTCTAGAAGCGCATTCCAGGGATTCGCCCTCCAGCCCTGCCAATCATTGGGTGTAGGTAGGTCACATGTCCTGGTGCACATCACAATCACTGCTCTGCTATCCTGCAGAACAATCCCAGCATGCACTTCTGATTGGCTCTGTAACTCTACATGCAGTTTAGTGTAACAGCTCTCGCTTTGCCATTGTATATGAAAGAGGAACTGATTTCTGATCTTAAACTGATTCTAAAGGTTAATTTATTTATTTTTTAAATAACAAACATGTCTATACTTACCTGCTGTGTGCGGTGGTTTTGCATTGAGCAGCCCGGATCCTCCTCTTCCCAGGTGCCCCACAGGCTCTCCTCCTGTCAGGTGCCCCTGCAGCAAGCAGCTTGCTGCGGGGGCACCTACTGCTCCATGTGTCCATTCAAACACGGAGCCGTGGCTTGGCCCCACCCTCTCACTCATTGGCTGACTGGCGGTGATTGACAGCAGTGGGAGCCAATTGCTCCCGCTTGCTGTCTCAGCCAATGAGGAGGCTGACACCTGGGACAACCGAGGCTGTTGTTCACATCACTGGATTGTGAGGAGGTTCAGGTATGTATTGGGGGTGGGCGCTGCACACAGGTGTTTTACTTTCATACATAGAACACATGAAGGTAACAAACCTCGATCCTTTACAAGCACTGCAAGAGCCTGTGTTGATGGCATCAGTCTGAGATGCTTCTGAGCTCCTTCAGAGGTCATTGACAGGTGCAACTGACCTGCATTTGACTTGCTTCAAGTGGGTTTTGCTTCCAATAGGCCATCTACACTGACCCTAAACCAGGGGGGCCCAACCTTTTAAAGAGCAAGGGCCACTTAAGTGATTTGGTAAGCGGTCACAGGCCACAATGAATTTTAATGCTTCTGAATTTTTAATTTGTCATTATGTATCACATCTGAGGGCCACAGGTTGAGCCCCCCTGCCCTAAACAGTAGGTGTGATGGTGCAAAGGACCCCAGGACACATACCTGGGGTTAGATCTCCCCAACTAGTACAATAAAAAAAAAATCCTTGCAGGGGTTCTTAACCCTCCCTCACTACAATGAAACCTACGTAAAGGAGACCTCCAGCCACTCAGGATTAGGTTTCAGGAATTCCCATGGGACTGTTTATGCTTTTTTTTTTTACTTGTGGATGGGCTGATTGAAGGACGAAAAAAAAAAAAAGTTCTGTGAAATTTCAAAAACATAAGCTGCTATCTGCACTGCATTTCCATCCAGCGCTGAGATCTCTTCCATTCATAAAATGCCTCGCTTGGAGGAAGGATCTTTTTTTTTTTTTCTTGGGAGGGTGCATGTGATCAGCACAGGGCCAAACAGCACTGGTCAAACAGAGGTCAGGGGTTCTGCATTTTCCTAGAGCAGAAAGAAAACTCCTCCTCTAAACTTTAACCAGTGCTGTGCTGGACACTGATAGAATTCACAAGACTGCTATATACTGCTGATGAGAAAAGGTATTTAGCAGTTTATGTTTATTTGCCTCTCCATGTTGTGTGTGTACTGTGGGAGACCAGATATAGTGAATGCAGGGTCAAGGGAGAGCGGATATAGTGAATGCAGGGTCCGGGGAGATCAGATATAGTGAATGCAGGGTCCGAGGAGACCAGATATAGTGAATGCAGGGTCAAGGGGAGAGCGGATATAGTGAATGCAGGGTCCGGGGAGATCAGATATAGTGGAATAGTGCAGGGTCCAGGGAGACCGGATATAGTGAATGCGGGGTCCGGGGAGACCGGATATAGTGAATGCAGGGTCCGGGGAGAGCGGATATAGTGAATGCAGGGTCCGGGGAGAATGCGGATATATAGTGAATGCAGGGTCCGGGGGGAGAGCGGGGATATAGTGAATGCAGGGTCCGGGGAGACAGGGTCCCGGGGAGAGCGGATATAGTGAATGCAGGGTCACGGGAGACCGGAATTCATATAGTGAATGCAGGTCAGGGTCACGGGGAGACCGGATATAGTGAATGCAGGGTCCGGGGAGACCGGATATAGTGAATGCAGGGTCCAGGGAGACCGGGGATATATAGTGAATGCAGCGGGGTCCGGAGAGACCAGATATAGTGAATGCATGGTCCTGGGAGACCGGATATAGTGAATGCAGGGTCCGGGGGGGAGAGCGGATATATAGTGAATGCAGGGTCCGGGGAGAGCGGATAGGGTAGTGTGAATGCAGGGTCCGGGGAGAGTGGATATAGTGAATGCAGGGTCCGGGGAGAGCGGATATATATAGTGAATGCAGGATCCGGGGAGAGTGAATGCGGATCCGGGATATAGTGAATGCAGGGCCCGGGGGAGACCGGATATAGTGAATGCAGGGTCAGGGGACACTAGATATAGTGAATGCAGGGTCCGGGGTTTAGTAAGACCTTAATACATGTGATCATGCGTTCTGTGCCGCAGGCTTTCAACGGTTAACACATTGTGCATAGATGACATATCCCCACCTGTCCAATGCCTTCTGAAAAGCAAGCCACTGTGGATCTCATTTCAGAGGGGCGGCAGCAATTTAAACCACCCAGCCTTGGCCTGACCTCATTCACTTCAAGGTGCTGCATTTATTTATACCTGTGGTTATACGGCTTGTGTACCTCCACCACCAGAGGAGGGTGGTAAAAAACCGTGGATATAGCAACTATTTTTTACCACCATGACAGCAAAGCCTTTACTTAGGTTTGTTCTCGCCCTCTATAGAATATAGAATACGGTTCATTGCTCCGAACGCTGAGCTCTGTGATGTTTCTGTTCATAGATTGTTTTCGGAGAGTTGCCTGGACTGCTCCGCTCACTGTGGTGACACCGACTGTAATACATTGTTGCTCTTCTGTGTTTATTCGATTTTTTACTTGTCTGTAGAAGCACTTTATTGGATAATGTACAATGTTGTTTCTTATTATAAAATGTCTTTTTTCTATTTGAATGTGTTAGTAAACATTGTATCCCCACTTTTAGCAGAGAGTGTCTTGTTCTTTGTTTCTTGACCTTGTCATCGAATATTATGTGACGCCGTTTGTTTACTTCACGTTTTTAGACAATAAAGTAACACTGACACCCCGGTCACACCGATCCGACTTTGAAATCGTGCAACTTCCAGCGAAGTCTCACAATTTCAACGTCGGATGTCTGACTTGAGGTTAGACTTGCAAGACAACTGCGGCTTCCAAGACACAGACGTCTATGCAAGCCGCACCTGAGGTAGTGCATGCACTACAATAGAAACCGGTGCGGCTCCGACCGCTGTAATTGTGGACAATAGGCTGCGACTTGCCATGCATAGTTACATAGTTAGTCTGGCTGAAAAAAGACCAAAAAAAAAAGTTATATTGCTATACCCACAGTTGATCCAGAGGAAGGCAAAAAACAGCAAGGCATGATCCAATTTGCTCCTGCAGGGAAGAATTCCTTCCTGATCCCCCGAGAGGCAATCGGATATTCCCTGGATCAACTATATAACTGGATACAACTAAATATAACTGGATACTAACATTTATATGTTAGTATCCAGTTATATTCTTTGTATCCAAGAATGAATCCAGGACTTTTTTAAAGCAATCCATTGAGCTGGCCAGAACCAACTCTGAGGGAGTCTATTCCACATTTTCACAGCTCTTACTGTGAAGAAACCTTTCCATATTTGGAGATTACATTTCTTTTCCTCCAGATGTAAAGAGTGCCCCCTTGTCCTCTGTGATGACCTCAGGGGCAATAACTCTACACCGAGTTCACTACATGAACCACTGATGTATTTATACATGGAGATCCTATCCCCCCTTATGTATTATACATGGAGATCCTATCCCCCCCTTACGTATTATACATGGAGATCATATCCCCCCTTATGTATTATACATGGTGATCATATCCCCCCTTATGTATTGTACATGGTGATCATATCCCCCCCCTTATGTATTATACATGGAGATCATATCCCCCCTTATGTATAATACATGGAGATCATATCCCCCCTTATGTATTATACATGGTGATCATATCCCCCCTTATGTATTATACATGGAGATCATATCCCCCTTATGTATTATACATGGAGATCATATCCCCCCTTATGTATTATACATGGTGATCATGTCTCCCCCTTATGTATTATACATGGAGATCATATCCCTCCTTATGTATTGTACATGGAGATCATTTCCCCCTTATGTATTATACATGGAGATCATATCCCCCTTATGTATTATACATGGAGACCATATCCCCCCTTATGTATTATACATGGAGATCATATCCCCCCTTATGTATTTTACATGGAGATCATATCCCCCCTTATGTATTATACATGGAGATCATATCCCCCTTATGTATTATACATGGAGATCATATCCCCCCCTTATGTATTATACATGGAGATCATATCCCTCTTATGTATTATACATGGTGATCATATCCCCCCTTATGTATTATACATGGAGATCATATCCCCCTTATGTATTATACATGGAGATCATATCCCCCCTTATGTATTATACATGGTGATCATGTCCCCCCTTATGTATTATACATGGAGATCATATCCCCCCCTTAAGTATTATACATGGAGATCATATCCCCCCTTATGTATTATACGTGGTGATCATATCCCTCCTTATGTATTATACGTGGAGATCATATCCCCCCCTTATGTATTATACATGGAGATCATATCCCCCCTCATGTATTATACATGGAGATCATATCCCCCCTTATGTATTATACATGGTGATCATATCCCCCCTTATGTATTATACATGGAGATCATATCCCCCCTTATGTATTATACATGGTGGTCATATCCCCCCTTATGTATTATACATGGAGAGCATATCCCCCCTTATGTATTATACATGGAGATCATATCCCCCCTTATGTATTATACATGGAGATCATATCCCCCCCTTATGTATTATACATGGAGATCATATCCCCCCCTTATGTATTATACATGGAGATCATATCCCCCCTTAATCTCCTCTCCTCAAGAGAAAATAAATTCAGTTCCTGTAATCTTTCCTCATAGCTGATCTCCCCATGCCTCTTATCAGTTTGGTTGCCCTTCTCTATATTTTCTCCAGTTCCCCAATGTTCTTTTTATGAATTGGTGCCCAAAACTGAACTGCATATTCCAGATGAGGTCTTACTAATGATTTCTACTGGGGGGGGGGGGGAATGATATCTCTCTCTCTCTCAAGTATATACCTCTTTTAATACAAGGGTATTTTATACAAGAAAGGATTGGGCTTGGCCCCCTAGTTCCAGTGAAGGGAACTCTTAAGGCTTCAGCATACCGAGTCATTTTGGACAATTTCATGTTCCCAACTTTGTGGGAAGAGTTTGGGGATGGCCCCTTCCTGTTCCAACATGACTGCGCACCAGTGCACAAAGCAAGGTCCATAAAGACATGGAGGAGCCAGTTTGGGGTGGAGGAACTTGACTGTCCTGCACAGAGTCCTGACCTCAACCCCATAGAACACCTTTGGGATGAATTAGAGCGGAGACTGTGAGCCAGGCCTCCTCCCCCGACATCAGTGCCTGACCTGACAAATGTGCTTCTGGAAGAATGGTCCAACCTTCCCATAGACACCCTCCTAAACCTTGTGGACGGCCTTCCCAGAAGAGTTGAAGCTGTTATAGCTGCAAAGGGCGGGGCCAACTCAATATTGAACCCTACGGACTAAGGCTGGGGGGCCATTACAGTTCATGTGCGGGGGAAAGGGCGGCCCGACCAATACTTTTGGCAATATATTTATTTATTTCATGTACTTATATAGCGCCGTCAATGTACGCAGCACTTTACATATATATTGTACATTCACATCAGTCCCTAACCCTCAAGGGGCGTACGATCTAAGGTCCCTAACCCTCAAGGGGCGTACAATCTAAGGTCCCTAACCCTCAAGGGGCGTACAATCTAAGGTCCCTAACTCTCAAGGGGTGTACAATCTAAGG